TTCTTTTCAGCAGATGTGAATAGAGGCTCATCTCATCCACCCAAGGCAGCACTTACTGTGTTTGACATGTTCAAGTAATCAAATGAAGAGGAATGTACGTGCCTACATATATTGATATTGTATGGTTTTTTAACTAAGTAGGTCAATTTTCTAAATATTAACAAAAGATTAAATACGTCCATGCACTTCGGAATTGGTAAGTGGTATATCTCTAAATGTTTAGAATTCGTGGTCTATGAACAGGCGTATAATTTCTGATTTATGTGTCAGATTTCTGCTTTTGGTTAGAGCACAGCTGCTACAGACAAAGAAAGATAATACAGCTGACCCTCTATAAATGAAATCCACAACTCGATGGCATAAGTGTCCAAGAAAAAAAAAAGATATCATGTATATATGAGTATGCACAAACTTGTGTATCTCACACCTATATCCCATTTGTCTTTCATGTTGAAGAGAATAGCTTGCACCTTAGTTATCAACAATGCCTTGGGAGATTTTGTAACATGGTTAACAGAATTGCACAAAGCTTTAATTTTTAAGAAAAAAGGGTAACAGAAAATCATTAGCAGCTGAAGTGACAGTAGCCTTTGGGGAATGATCCATCTCATTGCTCTTGAAAAGAGAAATCTGGGCGCTAGAGACATCAGTTCATTTTCACTACCTGGAATTTGCCTTTCTCTGCCAGAGAAAGACAACTTTCAGCTAAAATTCAGTTCCTTGGCTGTTTGTGTACAAATCAGCCACCAAGCCCAGATCTATTGGGAGAGTGTGTTGGATTACACTCAGTTCTAAGTTATGGTTAATAGGGTTTTACTGAGCTGCAGTAGAAAGCCACTCTGAATACCATGTTAGGTGACGTTCCTTGATAAGACTCGTGTAATACAGGCCAAATATAAATTCCAATGTGCAAAATTAAAAACGTATTTTTGGCAATCCAAACATCCACAGAAAGATGCTTTATAATTATATATATAGCAGATTTGTTACAATATTTCATGCTTTTTGTACTAACGTGAAATCCAGTAACAGCGCAGTTGTTAGAAACCATGAATATGTGGAAAAATCCCACAAATTACTTATAATTTCAAAATCTGTACAGAACTATGGGTTACAATATCTGGTATAGGTATTACTGGTTCAATGAACCATTTTGAAAGCGGATTCTGGCTGCCAGAATGTGTACAGTAAATTCTGTGTATCCTGAAATAAGACACAGCAGAAAACTGCAAAAAAAAGCACTCTATCTGTCAGTAGCTACAGAATTAACAAACAAAGGGAAAAAAGTAGAGAAAAAAATAAATCAGAACATGAAAATATCTATATTTAAAAAAACAACAAAGGCAAACAACCCAATATTTAATGAACTAAACAAAGACCCTACTGGAAATACACAAGATGAACTAGAAAAAGAACTGTTAGGGTGATTATGTAAGAAGTTACATGTATAAGACTCCTCTTTCTCAGAGCCGGATGGCTTTCCATATTAAAACTATCGCATTATTGAAAAATATTATAGCTAAATATATAATAATTTTCTACAATACAATATTTCTGCTAAAATTAAGAATATTAAGAAAAAAAAAAAAAAGAAATGCCCAATATGTATGGGCCCTACTGCAGGTTTGCAGGATTAATCATATAAGTAGCAAGCCTCAGAAAATAAGTTTTGAATTCATAGTTAATATAATTAAGTAATGAACAGGCATGACTATGCCATGACTACACAGCGACTCCTGACATGAAATTCTACTAAACACTTTCTCATACATGGTTATAAATGCAAATTAGACTTCTTAAATTCCAGGTAGATTGTTTCATTTTAGCACACTCATTTTTGCTATGTGTTAGCAAACAGAAACAGACGTTAGTTTTAATTCTCCAGTTAATAAACATATTTATTTCAGCGTATACAGCTCTCACTAAATAATCTGGAGCTTGAACAAGACAAGTAGCTCACATGAGATAATCACCACACAGTAAAACTTTGGCTTAGTATGAGCAACATAGCTTGATTTTCTAAAACCAGATTAAGTTGAATATACGCAAATTTGTACATTCATTTAACTTCCAGGAAGCATTTAGAACATCCACTACAAGTAAGGATAATTAGCTAAATTCTGAAGGCATTTTATCCCTACACTTGATCATGTAACGAAATCCATTGTAATTGCAAACAATTCTATATGGGGAACTCAAAGATTATGAACTCCATCAATATGAACATCATCAATAGCAGACAAAAGTATCATAATGTTTGTGCTTATAACAGAGTACATCATAAATCAAATTTTACTGATTCTTCAATTTAGGAACCATAATTTTCCATACAATCAATTGGAGTTTCATCTTTGACAGAACTGTAATATTTAAATTGTTTGTTAAATACTGTGACTAAGTACAGGGATAAAGAAAACCTGAGGTACTGTATGTCATAATACTTAAAAGAGCTTGTAATAGGGTAATGGAAACATTGCAGTTGCTGACTTCATGAGTTAGAGACAAGACTTCGTTTCTCTACCTCATTTTTCCACTCCCTAAAGCTTAAAATGAAGAGAACAACATTCCTATGAGCTGGTTTCAGCAGATTTACTACATGTGCCCTTAAAAACATTATAATTACTAAATGTTATAAGTTATTAGATTTTTACTGCAAAATGTCATATTTTGCTATTTTACACCCCTTTGATATAAAAAGTCAGTGCTAAAATTATCTATGACAATTAACAGAAGTAATTTTTAATTTATATTTTATATTTATCCTATTGGATAATCAGCAATCAGATTTAAGTCTTACTACACATATTTACTTTGGAAAAAGTGTTCAAAGCAGCTATCACTGAAAGATTGTTGTAAATAAAATTATTTTTCCTTTTAAGGATTAATTAAAATGGACTCTTTCTGAATGGGAGTGAAAAAAAATTAATCACAAACTCAGTTTTAAAACACAGAGCTATTCATGACAGTTCTGTAATGTGATATATGCAAATCTGTCAGGAATAAAAATCAACCACAATCTAATTTCAAACCTTTCCCAAACAGCTGCTCAACAATTTCTATTTTTACTGCAGGATAATGACAATGATAAATGCTTTTCCTTGGAAATAAATATTCATTAAGCAGGCTCAGTTCAAAACTATACCCTTCCAAAAGCCCACAAATGTGCAAGATCCATTTGCCTCTTCTAAGAGATTTATTTGGGAGGAAGACGGAACTGTGCCTACAAATGCATCTCATAACAATTTAATAGTTCAGTTAAATTAAACCTATGGCAGTACTTACTTGTAACCTCAGTAATCAATATTATTAAAGCTGGTGCCAACTCCCATAATACCAAATATATGTGGGTGAACAACAGATTAGTTATGGATATAAATCAGATAAAGATAGCCCAAATCTAAAGCATTAAGCAGCACTATAAGGAAGTCAACTAGCAGTGAGCTGCTTGAGGTAGGTCAGTTTTCCCATCTAATCTAATAATGAACATAAGTTCATTAGACAAGGACCAAGTGTTAGCTCATTAGCCATGATTTACACAGTCTATGACTTATTTTTGTGCAGAAGAGTCATTTTATCAAAAGGAATACTTTAAAATGAAGAATGACAACAACATTGGCATGTTGTGTGCTTCAACACTCAGGACCGTTTTAATTTACTAGTACTAAATCAGAAGTGGTAAAAGGAATGGCCTACTGTTATTTCACACAGTCCTGTTATCAGTTATATGCATCCTTTGCTCCAATACCTCATTGTTATGCTTCACTACATATACTATACTGTCTTGCTAGGAAACTGAAAACACGCTAATTTTCAAGAGCTAGTAAGAATATCTATACATGTGTGCATGTATACAGGTGCCTAATATGTATAAGATATATGCATGTGTAAGAATTATAAATAGATGTAATTTTATAGACGCCAATAACAGCATATGGATGTGATTTTGTTGCATTTCCTCTGCTGTGGAAAGAGACAAATGGGCTCCTACAGCGGACAATTCAGAGAACCTAGCCAGAGCCCTTGCCCTGGTTCTCCCTCTAAGCTTCTTTTTTATAGCTGACTGTAGGCAAATTCCAGCCTCTTTAGGCTAACATTTCCTTTTGTTGAAACCTTTCTTTCCCCAAAAAAAATCACTGGAAAATGGAAATGCGGTCTTCTCTTCATGCTGGATGACAATTTGAAAATGCTGTAATTATATACAGCACTTAAGCATAATTTTTTACAAGGCTTTCCTCACACAAACATTATTCTGCAAAAGCTGATAACTCATTCATCTACTTAGGCTTACAACTCTAATCTTACTCTCTTCTTATGTCAATTTTGTTTTGGAAAAATTCCACCAATTTCAAAGGATTTCATTGCTATAAGCGATGAAGAAACCAGTGAGCAATATTTAAAGTCATATCAACAATACTGAATTACCTTCTTATTAACTACATCATCTTCCTACTAGACAATATTTTCTGTTTAGCTAATTAAACTGTAATATTTACACAAAGTACAGCCCCAACCAGATGTCAAGATTTTTGGTCTAGCACGGAATGGACCAGCTAAATTTTTCTTGGTTTTGTTGCCATTTTAATAAAAAATGTTTTAAAATCAAACACAACAAAACTGCCAAGATTGGGTGTGGGTAGGGTTACTTACTAATTACTTCAAATTACAAACACACAAACAAAACTTTAAACACAAATTCACAACTTTAAATATATAACTGTCCCTCTCTGTCCTTTCTACTCCATTCAAGGAAACACTTTCCAGATGCCCTAACGCTGTTGTCTTCCAAATACAGGTGAAACAGATAAAAATAAATTAAATCCTCAGTATTCTCATGTTTTGCACCAATGTGCTTTCATATATAAACATCCATATATTCACACATCACAGAGAGGGGCTGAGTCCTTTTAAAACAGGTGTCTGAGAGTGAGGGCAGGCTGCCAATACACAGGAGCCCAAAAATAATGGAATCTAATCATCGTAAGAAAAGTTTTCTATCTTACCTTGAGACATTCTTCTTGTTTGAAGAGATCTTCACAATGCTTAGCCTGCAGAACAGGAGAACTAAGGCGCTCTTCTACTTCAGACAAGGCTTGCAGAAGGTGAAGGATCTCTGCCAGGTATGTAGAAGGCACATGAGTGGTTTCCACAGTCATAGTTTCAGTCACCACAAAACTTGTATCTTCATGAACAGTTTGCTAGTATAGATATACAACAGAATGCTTCCTTTAGTTTCTTAACACTACACAAATCTACAACTTAATGCAATTTCCAGTTCACAACCTAGAAACAATTAAAATTAATTTCTAACTACAAATGCAGGAAAAACTTGAGGTTTCTGGCACAGACCACTCACATTCCACAAATCTGTTTGAAATGGCAGGTACTAAAATTAATCCTTGCAAAAGTGAACAAAGTTTCCTTCTCCTACTCTGCAAAAAAATGAAAATAGGAAATGTAAGAGTACTTTGAGATTATGGTGTTACTGAGATTTTTTTTAGTGATAGTCCTTTCATTTTAAATCCTCACACCTCTTTAAGAATCTGTCCTTCGTTACAGCAATTCCATGCATGCCAGGCATAAAATACTAAATAATTTCAAGGTGTCAAGTAAAATAATGCTTGTGTAATAGACACAATTTCTTAAATAACACAAACCACAAAATAACTAGGTCAACTCAACACTTTCAACACTATACTAAAATCTTTGTCTTTTAACTAGAAATTACAATGTGGATTCTTGTGATTTGAAAGGTCTTTAATGCATTCATATTTCTAAAAGAAATCCCAGCAACGCACCTTTTCAGGAAATTAAGATATTTCGGTTTTTTTGTATGGACAAATATGAAATAGATGCCCTTTTCTGAAAGCACATGATTACACCAAATGTAAAGAAATCTCAGAATGTTTTGGCTCCAAGAAAATAGTTGATCTATGGCATTTGGAAAGATACTGACATATAAGGTGACCAAATAGTGACTGTTTATATAAATTCTCTAGATTTCTAATTTGATGTGTTTATGTATCACAGATAAAAAGTAATATCAAAAGCGTGCTTTGGAGCAGGGAGAACTGTGATTGCTTCTTTTAACTAAACTTCAAATACATGATCACCTGCATTTCCATTAGAAAAGGCAAAATTTAAAAGATATAAATTATTTGTGACTTCATAAGCACAATTTATTATTTATTTGTTTTGTCACATCACATAGGATTCCTAGTGTGGGTCAAAGATCCATTGTGCTTGATGTCTGCCTTCTCAAAAATATAATTTATTTTGCTTATTGAGGAACTTAAAGAACTTTTACAAGCAATTGCTGGTAAACTTTGTTACAAAAATCGCATTATTTAGACGCTTCAGTCCTAATACAGATAATGGTGGATTTTGGAGCCATATATGTGAAAGACAATGGATCAATGGTCCTGAAGAAAACAATATCACTAGTTAGCTAACAGTATGTAAAAGAAAACAATACAAACTATCTTGCACATACTACCTCAGCAAGGTGTCTCATTTTAATTTATCTGTTTCTCCTTTCCATCCTTTTGTGACATGTTTCTCTCCTCAGTTGCCAGATTGAGTCATCTGGTTCTTCAATTTTCATTACTTAAAATATGCGTATATACACTCTAGAAGCTGTAAGCATATCACATATAAAGCCCATAAAGTTGTCTGTAGACTTGTGTTATTCTGCTGCACTTCCTGTGCATATTTAATTGCTTTGCTTACTCTTTTCTCGCTAAATGACTTTCTCAGTACATCTGCTAACACTGAAACCTCTCTAATTACCGTATCACTGCTATAATTTTTATTATTTAAAATAATTTGTTCTTTAAAAATTGAGTTTTCCCTCCATATGTTTCATGAACTACTCTCTGCAAAAATACCAGTTTACCCCAGTAAACCAAAAGAAAAAGCTGTCCCAGTTGATTAGAAAATGGGAGATTCTCAACAAGCCACTGAGGCATGCAGCAATAGAATTTAATTCCTGAAGACAATAATGTTAAGACTTCTACACGCAGCAAAGAATTTTAGATCCACATGAGAAATATTTGAACTATAACTGTATTTTTGTTTTTGGCTGAGAAGTCAGAATATTTATATTGACATTAATGAAAAGAGCATGCTAGGTGTGCAAGGTTATTCACTCAAAATGAGGTCACGTGAATATATAAATTGACACACAAAACATAATTGGTTTCTATAGTTGTAGTAGTTTAAACTATTTTTTTTCAGCCCAAATTTAGGCTAAAAATTATGTACACATATAGGTACACATATACACGTATACATGTGTACATAAAATAAAATCTGATTCTTCTTGTTCTAAATAATTCCTGAAACCAGAAAAAAGTCAAGCAGAATTCTGATGTGTGAGCACCTCAGTGAGATCATGCTTAACTATTTATAGTAGTGCCAAAATTGGGTACCTTTCAATCACTGATACAAAGAACTTGTACAAAAGCACTCTTCAAGGCAAAATTACTTAAAATCTGAAGGCAAGACTGAACCTTGTATGATATATATGGTCCTTCAAAATATGTATAATATTTAACTCCCATTAATGCTACTGAGATATTTGCAACCATATATTCATACTGCACTTTACAGAAAATTTCACGCAGCTGGATGATTACTTGTCTAGTTCTACAGGAAACATGACTCAGGAAATTTCTAGTTCAAGCAAATCATTAATGTTTATTGTTGATTAAACCACAAAGTACTACAACCAGATAAAGAAATAAATGGATTGATATTTGAAAGCAGAAGCCTTCCAGGACCTGCCTTCATATTTGGCAACATTATTTAGTACCTTATTCTAAAAAGAGTAACAATCCAAACTAATTAGTTGCTGAATACTATTTAAATAAAAGAGTTGGAAATTTGATAGACTTTTAGAAATCAAGGATTAAATTTCTCTGACTTTAGTGGGTTTTTTCAATAGGTCAGGGGTGTTTTCTTTCCTTCTATCTTTCCCTCATTGACAGTAGCATAACAGAACCCAAGGCAGAAGGCGGCATCTTGCACTAAGGAATGGAGAGTAGGCATATCCAGAATTGACAACTTTAAATCAGTGAAGTAAAGGAAAGATTTTTGGCTTCTCCCTATCTTTGCTGGAATTGTCTTACTGTAGAAGATACAATGGGCAAATTCCTTCCCTATATTCTGGACAAGTAGCATTACTAGAAATGCATAGCTGAAACTGAATCATATACTAACACCACAATAAGAATTTTTTTTTTTAAATTGTAGCAGATGGGGACCACTACTATTAAAAATAATATTAATTCAGTACAGACGCAGGTCACTGCTAATGTCAAAATGGTTCATCAGAAGCAAGGTAGGTTAACATTTTATAATGATTAAAAAAAAATAAGAAAATGGAAACTAATGTTTTAGGTAATTGTTTAAGAATGGTTTTTAATAAGTTGAATCTGACAAAATGGCACAATACATTAGATAGTTACCTGAAAATACTCAAAACTAAATAATATTTTAAAATAATACATAATACAAATGAACTGTTAATGATAGGGAATGATGGGGAAACACTGGTATAAATAGCCATTTCCTATATTGTTATTGCTGCAAAATACATTTTTATTGATATTAATTTATTTTGTATTTTTACTTGATTGTCAGTGATATATGGATGTGCAAATTATTTCTAGTATCTGAAAAAAAACCCAACTTATTTTGGATAACGGTTAACATTTCATGCATTGCTTTTCACAAAGCATTATCATCTCTAGAATAGTAAAATTAATTTTCTCCCCCATCTTTATATATTTTTAATTAAGGGATAGGATCTTTCCATAACCATGATTCTACTACACGTGAGAAACTGATTTTATAGACAGCTACCACATCCTACGAGATGCAACAAAAAGACAAGAAATACATCCATGAACTGGCCCTACGGAAAAGGCCAGTAAGCAAAAACCAAACAAACTAACCAAACAAAAAACAACTAAAGAAAAAACGAAAAACAACAAACAAAAAACAAACCCAAACAAAACAAAACTAAAAGTCCCAAACAAACAAACAAACATACCCTCAAAAATTACAGGAATAATGCAGGTTTTGCTGACAAAATCAAGCATATCCCCCCTGCCTCCCCGCCCCGAAGTATCTGTGATGATTACTGCTTACATCTAGAACAGTATTACCTGGTATAAGCACCAGAGCTAACTAACCTTGTATGAATGCTGTTAATTTCCTTTTAGTACTGGAAAATCAGTGTTAAAGCACATTTCACCCATCTCAGTATGTCCATTTCCTTTCCTCTTTCTGAAGAGGGAACAATCCCAAATCACTTTTGCTCTTCAACAGTTCACTCTCAGAAAGCCTCCAATCTTTTTGTGTTAGGCCTTAACAATGGTTCCATTTTTGGTCCCTTCTCTCTACAGGCCTCTAAACTCAAAGCGACCTTAGTGTGCTGTGCTTCCAAGTTACTAAGTTCTCACAGAACACATGGGAGGAGTAAAGCAGCAAAACACACCTATCAGCACTACTGTACCACAACACTACTCCTAGCAGCATCCTGATGAGAAGTTCAAGAAAAACAAAAAAATGTGTGCCTCCTCCTCCAGAAGTGAACTAAAGCTCAAGAAAGTATACTTCCCAAGCAGCTGTAGGATATATGAAAGTGCAAAAAGTCAGTCCCCTCTGAGGAATGAACATAGGTGTGCTACACATACGAAAAAAAGAAGCAGATAGCAGACACCTTCTGGACAAAGACAGTGATGCCTCAAAGGGTCCAATAAGCTTTGGAACAGTTGACTGCTTTCTAGAGCAAACTGTAAACTGCATGACATCTGCTAGCCCATAGTTAGCATCAATATATCAAATAAAGAATTAATAAGGCAAAAGTATGATCAAATGCTGTCAGCAATCAATAAAAACACTTTCAAATACATATTTATACATAGAGAAGCTTATATTGACCCCTTCCTACGCCAACTCTGAGAGGTGATGTCAGCTAACTTTCAGAAAAATAAATTCCATGTCTTCAGTACTGCTAGCACATCTTACTTTTAAGTGTGTATATGTGCAGGAAGTAGATCAAAATTATACCAGTAACATGGAATTTCCTGTATGAGATTGGATGGCCTTAGTCAATCACAAGTTATCTATCAGTACAAAAAGAAGCATCTCTTTCAAGTATAGAGAAACCTAAATCCTCACTACAGGATTA